ATACAGTGCAAACGGCAAAGTTAGAAGAGAAATGAAGAGACAGATTTAAACAGACATTATGGGGAGGGGGGTGGGGAGAGAGAAAGAAAGAAAGAAAAGCCATGAAACAATGCAAATAAAAGGCATAAAAAACTGTTGGAATGAAGAGATTTGATAGAGGAGAAGGAGCTGAGGAGTTTGCCAAGAGCAGAAGCCGGGATTTCAAACTCAGAAGTCCCTAACAAACTCAGGGTTATTTGCTATCGAGCTGAGAGGTTCGGCAGTGATCAATACTGTTTCCACTGACTCTGAAGGCTGATTTTCATTACAGCGGAGGAAGGTTTGAGAAAGAAAAGAACATAAGAGGGAGAAAACAAGAGGAGGGAGGCAAAGCAAGTCTAAAGGCAGAGCGGGGAGAAAGAAGGGGGAGGTTTGTTTGCTCAGGCACCACCACTGTTTTGGCTATTAAGCATGAAGGAGATTACTGAGTGGGGGAATTTGCATAAACATGCTTCTCTATTACCGCCCCCATTGTTCATGATTAACGAGATTATGGCTGCCTGTGCGCATAGAGTCAAGGATGTAATAGCAGTTAATTGCTTGTCTCATCCCAAATTAGAAGTAGTGTTGTTTGATGTTTGTTTCAATTTGGATTTGCACAGAGTGATGAAGCGCATTCTCTTTTCCTAGCAGTATAGAGGGCACCCGATAGGCAAGATGTGGAGCAGATTTGAGGTAACTGGAGTAGAAGAGAGGAAAAGAGAGAACTGGAGTTTCAAGAAAGCAATAAAGTCTTCTCAAATTGAAGTGAAAAAGGGGGCCAACTGGCAAAGAAAAGAGAAGAGGGACAGTTTCATAAGATTTAAGGGTGGGAAAAGTTACGAGATGAAAGGAGAGATGAGGGTTGTATGAAAGAGACAGAGCTGAAGGCAGAGATAATGGTGTATGAAGAAAGTAAACAAAGAAGGAAGAATAAGGAGAGGAAAAACAACGAAGATTGGTTTGAAATAAGAAGGTGATATAAAGAAAAAATAGAACAAAACAAGAGGAGGGGGTGGAGTTGGTGAGAGAAAATGGGTGAGACAAAACGGGAGGAGATTGCTTTGAACGCTGTAGATCTGTCAGAATTGAATCACAGGCGGCCAGCTGTAAGCTCTGATAGTGCTCTGCCTCTAAATATAACAGGCGCTGAGATGGACTGATACGGCCACAACAACAGACCCAGAGATGGTGAGAATAAAGGAGGCTTCATCCATAGAGAACAGAGAAAGACAGGATAGAAAATGCCAAATCTGTGCATATATGAAAAGGGATGAGCGCTCAGCAGGCAGTCATTTTCATGTGGTGACATTTTTAGAATGTATGTGTGTGTGTTATAATGCAATCCTAGTCCCAGCATTTAACACACATACTCTCAGCAAGGATAGTAACACAACCACAACAACAACAAAAAAAAACCTCCCAGCATGGAGACCCATCTGCCCAAACACAGCAGCAGGAGAAGCCCACTTATAGAGTGTGAGCAGCAAGAGTTGCCCTCGAGCTCTGAAAGTCGACTCACCACACCACTTGAGCCCCGGGCTGCTCGAGGTGTCAGGGGGGGAAGTGATGGAGTGACAAAGTCGCCCCTGGGTGAAATTAAAACCACAAAAGTGTCCGTCTTCTCCTGTTTCTCACACCCCCCCCCCCTCCTTTCAAGATACTCTGCAGATGACAACTGTGAGCAGTAACACACAAAAACTGCTAATACACACACACATAAAGAGAAGAGTCTCAACACATCACAAGCTTGAGCCCAGCTGCGTGACTCTTTTTATCCACAGCTCCTGTTTCCCTCCCATGTCGGCCTACATGTGTCAGAGTCAGAAACGAGCCTTGGCATCATTAACATCCAGCGCAGAAAGGTAATTGACACAGAGGTCATTAAGTCATGTACACAAGACTTTCAAGCACACACGCACTTCTTCATGAGCATCATATATGTTGGCGGTGTGTTTTAATAATGAAGGTGAATCTCCCTGGGGAGTGGAATGAGAGTCCTCAGGGTACAACTGAGCTGAGCTTATTTAGGCTGATTCAGCATTAAACAACTGCACTGCAGCTTTAATTGAAGTTCATTTAAGTGGTGCAATGTAGGGCTACAGAGGACCTTCATTAATCTTAAACTTGAATTTAATCCAATAAAAAATTCAACGTAAAGCTGGTAAGTGTGCATGCATGCTCATGACTTCAGTGCAAACCTTTAAATACTTGATTCTGTTTGCAGCAGTTTCCACTAACGTAGGGCCAAAATGATAAGTTATTATAATTATTATTATATTAGATTTCATTGTTAATATATAATTCAATGAATATAATACATGATGGTTGTACATATAGGGTTTTTATATATGCTTTATATTCTGAAACCACAATGTATTGAGAAGCATATTGTGCATTGAATGTATGAAATGTAACAACTCTGGCTGCTGATCTATTGGAACAATATTTAACGGGGACACATGCAGTGAACATTGCTTCATATATCAAATACAAAGTAGATGCCATGCATACAAGTTTCTAGTCGTGGCTAATTGCAACCAATTCAACATTTTTAAATCTGTTAGTTTGGAGGTTGAGTGTGTGTGTGTGTGTGTGTGTGTGTGTTTGAGGAAAATACATTCTAAGAAGGATTAAGACTTTAATTGCATTTACTGTTCATGTCCGCCTCCTAATTGAAAATAAAGTAACCAATGCATAATTACAGTGTTTGTTTCATCAATCTATGCACAATTATAGTTCAGCTTGTAGATACACTGTTCTGTTCGTGGTATTCACACTATATCTCTAAATACAGCAAAGTACTTGAAGCAACAATATGTAGGAATTTGATTAGGTGCGTTTTGACACCCACCCAAGTTCTCTGAGGTCAAATGCATCGTTGTAAGAAACTGTTTACAAGATGGTACCAAACCTGTGAGAAGCTTAACAACCATATAGACTGACAAGGTACAGCAATACTACCAGACTTTGCACAAATATGACTCTGCAAGTGTCTTCAGCCCGCTGTGTGCAAACTGTTTGCACATGTAGCAGCATTTAGTGTTTGAGTATTCAACTGTTGCCATGACATCTATGGACCGTGGCTGAATGGCTACATTGGAGACTCTCTTATTCTCTTCTTAGCTTCATTCGTCAACGTCCTCTTAAGCCATGGTATCAAACAGTACAGAGACAGACTAACTGGCTTCTTTTGGAGGCTTGTTTGTAAACCATAAGCTTTGGAAACCCATCGATGGAGGTCGCCTTATTGCAAATGTTGTCTCCAACAAACTGTTGGTCAACCTAACGACAGGCAAAGAGCTGAAGCTGAGGCAGGTCTTAATATTAACCCTTCATAAAATCAAAAAGGGTGAGTTATAATAAAAAATTCAACCCCACCACAGTGTGCGCAAATAAAGACATGAGCTATCCAAACCAAATTAGTTTTTTGAACCAAGCTGTAAGCATATTTAGCCTATTTCTGCGGTAAAAACAGGGATTTTTGAATAGGTGTGTGTGTGATTTTCTGAGCTTCTGCAGCCAGCCTCAAGGGGCAATCAAGGAACTGCAGCTTTTCGAACATCATCATCAGCATCATTGGTCAATGCTGGAGGTTGCCGCTTGGTGTAAAAAAAGTGCCATAAAGCCGTATGCACTTCTTAGCCTGCTGGCAAAGTAACATTCCTCTAGTAAAGAGTGGTAGTAGGGGAGACGCCACTGTCCCTGTTGAAAGTTATTGTTATTAACTACTGTTTAATGGTGGAAAAGTTACATATTGTTGCTTTAAATGTTATGACTACTTATTACAGTACTTGAGCAAATGTTGCGTTGTTAATTTATTTTCTGTCTCTGCAAAAATGACATGGTTTCTATATGCATTCTTTTTGACTTTAAAGTATGTGTGTGTTTGTCTTTGATGTGTATAGACAGTGTGCTGTAACAAAGAGAAATAAAAATAGAAAAAGGAGCAGAGAAAAAGATTTCAGAGGAAAAAATAAGTTTGGTCTGCTCACAGTTGAGTTTTCCACAGTGATACCCCACGGCAGAAAAACAGACTCTTCTTCCTCCAGCTGGTACTCCTCTTTCTGTTGAGCACGAGCCTTGACGTCCTCAGAGGAGCTCCCAAAGCTGCTGAGCACTGAAGGTGATTATTAAGCTCCCCCTTTTTTTCTTTTTAAACCTGCTGATGCTACATCCTCCTGCGCTCTTATGTCAGGTTTTGGTAATGCGCCTGGTTTGTATTGAATAGAAAAGCAGACACTAAGATGTTTTAGGCTACTTGAGCCTGTCAGCATCATCCACTCCACTAAATCTGTGGTGAAAGCACCTGTCAGATAAGGCAACAGAGTTACACACACACACACACAAATACTGAGCACAAGCATTGCACCTGTGAAAACATCCAAAAATGGCTACCACCTAGTGTTCATTCGTGTTAAGTGATTATATGTCATTATTTGCACAATAACTTTGATCACTGTCTGATTAAAACAGTGGTTCTCAAACTTTTACTGTCATGCTCCCTCCATCAAGATTATGAACATTTCACCATGACTGGTGTCTGCAAACACATGAATGAGTAGCAATTATTTACACTTTCTATCTACATTATATCTACTTGATCTACTTAAAGTATTCAAAGATGAAAAAGCTGACTGTGACCACTCACTGGTCACACCCCACCCTATCCCTGTCATGTTTTAGCATGACTGTGGTCACTCCCCAGTTTGAGAACCACTGAATTATATCCAAGTATCTTAAAATCTTCATGTTCATCGGGCTAAAAATAAGTCAGATTTATATCATTGTTACAATGCATTATTCAGATATTTGAATGGGTTATCAGCAACATATTTGACGGGAAAAGAAACATTTCAATTTATCGGAAAAACATATATTTAAAGATGAATATTTTTTCTTCTCTGGACCTGATCTTTGCTTTGGATTCACGTTAAACAAAACTTCTTTCACCAGTACACATGTACGCACTGAAACTGAAATGTATATTATATCATATAAACATTTATTCTCTGTACAGTCTTTAGGAATCAATGGGAAATCAATATTTTCTTTAGGGTTAGAAAAATACTTTTGCTGCACCATGATCACTTTGCATTCGCACATACAGTACATTAAGTAGCAGAAGAATCTCAGGAGTTTATAACATCGTATAAAACAAAACAAAAACGTGAGCGTGCATAACATCTATCAGTTATTTAAAACAAAGTGTCTCTCATACAAAAAGGCGCACAGAATGTAGTATATTGGCATATTTTTCATAATTATCTCTACAAAAAAATATCCGTGATATTAATGTAATCTTCTAGATATTCATAATGACTGTGTGCAAATTGCAGAACGTAAATAACACCTGGTTTCTGTGTGTAAAGTAATCCCGTAGTCTTATGCAGAGTAAGTCTTTGGAGAGAATCAACTTTTTCCATATTTGGCTTCATGTAGAGTCAAACTCAAGTACAATGACCTTTGAGTACAAATGTTGCGTCGACATCTCAAACAGTGTATGTTTCTTTAAAAAAAAGGCTTTTCATAAAGTGAACGTCTTTTTAGTCAATCGTTCAAGTCACAGAGTCCAGAGAGGCAGATGGAGCGGTACAAACAGGACCTCCTAGTTAACACAGTGTTCAAATGTGCAGCAGGGAAAGACTTCCAAAGTTTTCAGTCCTGTGATGTTATCAACAGTTATGAAAAGTTAGAGTCACAGGCAGATTTTGACAGCATGATTGATCTTGTCTTCAGTTTGCGGTAAAGTAACTCTTCCATCAGTTTGTCAGGATTTGTATAATTGGCGGTTCCTCTTGTAAACATGTCGTCCAATCCTTTAAAGGGGCGTGTCCAGGACTCTGAAACAGAAACTTCTTCCAACAAGGTAATCATCACCTGCTCGTACATGCAGATTATCTGCTTGGTGTTTTGTTTGACATCTTCAGTAAACCGTGGTGAGGTTTGCATGGCCACAGGTCACTTCATGTTTATAGGCTAAACATTACAATGTGAAATGAGTTTTTCTGATTAGTTGACCTCAACCTGAGGTTGACCAAGCCGTGTGACGGTGTCTCGCTCGCTGTCTTCTGAGCTGGAGGTCAGGACGCTCCTAAGAGGGCTGTGGACGGAGGGGCAGACATACGCAGAGCAGAGGAGAAAATAGATCATGAAACAAGGGTTGGAATAAAAGTTCCTTCAAGGTCTTTTTAATATATTAGCAGCATTATATTAGACTGCACTAATGTGTGACATTTATTTAATTACATTTAATCTAACCCACGGACAAAAAGACAGAACTTACCATTCGGGCCTTGTCACAGAAAATTCATGTTTTCACTAAGAGGTTTCCATTATCCTTCAGCTAAAAAATAATAAAACATTACATTATTAAATGAAGTTATTAATAATAAGTCTAATAAGCTTGTCTAATAATAGTACTTACATGTTGGTTTTTGCCATCCTTTTTAATCTAGTCAGGCTGTTATGGTGTGTTCTGCCTGAAGTACTGTACAAGGTGTGGACACTGTTTGATCTGAGACCATTAGAGCCCAGCGTCTGGACACTGATCTGGACCGGGAGACTCAGGTTGACATTTTCCAGAATACACTAAAGAATAAAAAGACAAAATATTCAATACATGCTGTTACTGAGTTTGACTTTTGAAGGGTGCACTAAAGCACACAGATGTTTAGGGTGAGCAGAAAATGAGATACCTTGGTGCAAGCTGAGCTCATGACAGATTTGTGGAAGTCTCCATCGACCAACACCTGACAGGTGACAGTCAATTATTTTAGACGGATACATCGTCAAGATTAAAAGTCTATGTGTCAGTTTACAGTTGCGGTTTGTTCTGCTTACCCGGTATCCGTACACAAACGTGCCGTTACTACAGCCAAGCTCGTCTAGCGTTGGCCTCTCCCAGCCAATCAGGAGGCTGCTCTGGCCCACTGTCTTGATTACCTCAACAGAGCAAACCTTGGCTGGAACTCCTGAGGTAATGGGGAAAAGAGACATTAAGCACAGCATGCTATCATTTTGTAAAGAATATTTCATATTGAGTGTACTGTACCATGTTTAAACATACCATTTGAACAAACTGTTTTATTTATTTTTTGATTAGTTACAGGTTACTTTCACAATATACCTTTTCTAATTTAAATTCTTCTGTATTAATTAACAAAAAAAAACTTGCAGCAAAGTGAGCTCACTCACAAATCCAAGCGATTAAGTGAAGGTTTGTAGTTGTGCACTGCAGTGTGATGCTGTATTTGCAATAAACAGGGAAACATTGAAATGCCATCATTTCTGCTTAAATTTCCAACAAGATTAATTCTACAACAAGACATTGAAAAAGAGGATAACCCATTTCTAAGCTGTGTGTAATCCCATTGCCAAAGCAAACAACCAAGAAGTAATACTGCACAATCATTAACTGCAAGATTATGCATGAAAGCTATGCAAAGACCTTGTTCAAAAGTTTCAGGGCATGCAGTTTTATTGTCACATCAATAAAACAACATTTCAACTTTTTATAAAACAACCATTTCTTCTACCAGGATTTTAAGCAGCTGTGTGTTTGCCTTCGTGAAAATTATCTAAATTATTGGGTATATATGCATTACCTGGTTCCAGCCTTGTCGTCTCTGTCTTTTCAGGAGCAGCAGCGGACTTCGCGGTACACTTGATGGTTCTCACAGGAAAGCAAGGAGCTGACTGAGTCGGGAGGCAGGAAATACAGGCCCGTCATAGTCAGGGGCAGCACCATTGGTTTGAGGAGGTGTGTTACAATGATTCACCTTTTGGGCAGTTGTGTCTGAGGCAGTGTTTCTTGGATGAGTGTCAGAACAGATTAAGACATCAGAGTCAACCATCGTGGTCCTCTGAGTTAAAGGAGAAGAAGCTGCATGTTTCGCATCAGATATGTCCGTGAAGGCAGCATTTGTCTTGGTCTGTTTTGGATCTATTTTTGTATTAGAGCAACTGCTCGAGTCAGATTCAGCTCTGCTAGGGTCAATGAACAAAGAGCTGGAAAGAGCAGATGTAGTTTTAGATACTCCTGCTTTGAAGTGATGGTGAGTAAACATGTTGGGATTGACTTTAACATGAGCAGACCTAGAGGTAACTGCAGTATAAAGTGTTGTCTTAGCAACAGGTGTGGTTGTCACTGCTGAAGTGGACTTAGCTTTGCTCAAAGCAGTGGTGACTGGGAGAGAGTTGGTGTCTGTTTGATTTAAACTGATGCTCCGCTTTGCAGTCAGAGAGGCCGGTCCCAGGTCTGCAGCTGGAGGAAATGAGAGACATTTCCTGGGCTGCTGTAGGCGTCCTCTGCTCACTTGACCCTTGAATCAAAGAGACACATGAACATGAAGTATATTAATATATTATGGCTTTATGGGTTCTTGTTTAAAGACATCAAACTGCATGATGACAAATACATAAAAGTAGTGTGATCTTTCATTCATACTTTGACACTAACCCATCATCTTCAGCGTACCTGATAGCTGCTCTTCATAGTCGTCTGCAGTTGCTCATGTAGGTTAAGGATCTTTTCTGGACTGCTCAGCCTCCTGCTCGCACTGACTCGTGTCCTGCAGAGAGCAGTAGTACTCAGTGAGGATCCAGTCGACCTGGAAAGGTCCAGGTAGGATTTTCCTTTGATTTCTGGTTTATGAAATCCTAGTATTTCTGCTGCGCTGGTTTTTTGGATCGGTCCACTGGTTGGGGGACAGAGCTGTGGTAGGAATGAGATAAAGCCGATTATAGTTTTTCTATTAGTTGTTTTTTTTAACTCTTAAATACAAACAATTTAACGTTTATGGTTACTGTGCATAAAGTATTTATAAAAATGTCAAATTATTTTATAGACTCAGAGCCTGGACCACAAATAAGTGCTTTTTCTTGACTTATAAACAGCCACCTGCATGCCAATAAGAAACCAGTAAATGGTGCATATGTGTACATGAACATGAAATGTTAGCCTGCATACCAACGACTGATGACAAGGCCTCTAGCTTTCATTGGTATATTGCTACTTATAAGGTTCACAAGGGAGAAATCTGACAGTAAAATAAACCTGTTTGATGTACATATTGGCATCTGACTACTTTTTAAAAACAGATTTGAACACTTTTAACCCATCTTTTTCTGTTAAATATCTGATTAGGATCGCTATAAGACCTCGTAATTTATAAGAAATAATAATAAGTCTTTTTCAAATTAGATATTTGCTTCTTTGTTTAAATTACCTTTCTCAATTGACAAAAATATGGATGTAAGAAGGGATTGTCTTGCAAAAAATACAAGACCTAACTTCGATGAAGTTGCCCTTGTTGTAATTTTAGTAGTAGTACATAACGAATCATTACTTCCCAAATGTTGCAACCAAAGGGCACAACACATTTTCTTTAAAAGCCAGCAATATGAAATAAATACATTCTGAGAGCAGTTATGTTTGCATATCATCTCACCTTTTCTGTGTCTGTTTGGACACTGGCATGCTCTTGCACAGGGGAGTCTGTCTCAAGTGTCCCTGTAGGTGCAGGTGAGATGACTTCACTGCTGCAGTCTTGGTGATTTTTCGAGGATTCATTGGCGACTGAAGAGATTTCAGGATTTTGTATTTCTCTACATTTACCAGCAGAATCAGTTGTACACATGTTTTGGACCTGCTGATTCAAAAGAGGGGATATAGTGCAGCAGCTCTGATCAGGCGTGAATCCTCTGCTGTAGTCTTGAAGTTTTAAAAGAAACCCTGGTGTAAATCCAGTACTGTTCTCCCGAGTCTTACATCCTGGAGTGAATGCTGCAAGTAGTCCTGCAGCACAATGTCACTGAGCAGTTCCTCAACCTGCTGCGTGAGGACGGGGTCCACAAAGCCTTGTCTGTTCATGGTCTTAATCATCTGAACCAACAAACTGTTCCTCTCCTGACACTTCACAACCAGGCAAGAAAGCTTGGCCTGTTGTCAGAAAAAAAAAACACACGTCAGAAACACTGTGCTCCTATTTATATGAACTCAGTTTTAACTTAAAGCTCAGTGTAAGTCATACACTGTAAATGAGGGTTCAGTGACAAAAGGACAAATGATGTAGGAACAAAAAGCTCTTTCTGTGTTCTCCACCTTTAAAGGAGCATTGTCCAGATCCTTTGGACTCCTCTTTTTCAGAGAGTGTCATACTATAAAGAAAATACAATAAAAACACCGTTAATATGAACACAAGAATCAGATTCAATCTTACCAACTCATGAAATAAGTCTGAAATAAACTGCATTTCGTCCCAAAGCCAGCGCTGAATGGTTACCCACCTTAGCTCTGATGTTGTTGTATTGTGTTCTGAGTGAGACTAGAGCAGTGCCCACGTCTTCTGTGCTGTCCTGTCCTCGCTTTAGAGCGATATATTCAGAGTTCAGCTCCTCTAGTGCCACTGTCTGAGAGGTTTTACACACATTTAAGCACACAAACAAACAAACAAACAGGAACAGATCTATGATGAGAACTGATCTTGGTGTAGGTTGGTCTCAATATTAATGCATTAATGTGTGTAGTTGCTCCAGTTTAAGACTGTATTAAAAGTCACAAGGATGAATAAAAGGTGATGCTGAAGATTCTTCAATTCAAACAACATCTCAGTTTAAGAATGTGACAATATGAGCCTTTCATTCAAAAAAGGAAAATCTTATCATGAGTTTGCAGATTTAATCAGGTTTCCATAGACATTTTTGCCGGTTTTTTTCTTTTAATCAGAAAAATGAACACATTTAAAAATAAACTTTTTTCTCGTCTGTGTCACATAAAAGATAAGTTGAATTCAAATCTGGTGATAATAAAAGCGCCTTCACCTTACCTTAGCTTTGAGCTGAGCTGTCAGCATGTTGTGTTGCTCCTCTATTTGTGCCTTCAGTGACAAAGCTTTAGTCTTCTCCCTGACCACGTCTGTCACTTTACTTGCAGCTCGTTCACCTTCAGCGACACAAACACTTGTTAGCTCCAACAGATAAACAAGAGACAGACAAAGTAAACAGACACACACACTGACTATTACTACTGGAGGGCTTCTTACATTACGTGTGTATTTCAAAGGTATGCTGCATGAGTCTTTCTGAACTGTACATGTGGTTAACAGTGCAGGAGACAAAACACGATTACAGTATGTCCAATGTCAATCTAAAAGGAATGATCGTGTGTAATACCTGGGTCTTTAGGCTTTCATTTTCCATTCTGGTATCTTCCATCTGATTGGCTATATCTGTCAGCCACATCAGGTTGTCAGCTTCTTGGGCTGCCTTTCTCTCGTCCTTCTCGCTCCTGACCTCCGTTTGATGCATCTCATTGTGCAGCCTCTGGGTCCGAACATAACACAAACATAACTATGAACCTCGTATATGTAAAAAAATAAAGAAGAAAAAAGACACAGACAAACAGAAATCTGAAATGTGTAATATGTTTCAGATTGAGATAAACACGAATATATATAAAATGTAGAAATTGTATTTATATATCCACCCCTCTGCTGCTACAGTTATCAGTTTGATCACCAAAGTGCACTTGTGACCTTAGACGTGTTAGTTTGACAAAAAAAAGTCTTATTCTACACATCTTGGTTTGCAACAAATGTTGTTTATAAAAAGGGAATCTGTGCAAACTTACATCTACTTTGCTTTTGCCCATTCTATCTTGTGAGGTTTTTAGTTCTACTCTCAAAGCTTCAATCTCCTGCAGCTGATCAGTTTGCTCCAGTTCATCATCTAACCATGTGATTTGAGTTCACAGGAATCCAAGTAATGATACACAATCAGCCAAATGTCTCAAAAGTCATTCAAATTGACACTACATACACAAACATTATGCAAACAAAAAAAAAATCATCATTACATCACTCCTATACCTGCATATTGTTTCCTCTGTGGGCTTCAGTCTGACATCGTTGTGTAGCTCCTGTCCCAACAGCAGTTTCATCAGCACTGTTTGTATTCATCAGAAGCTGCTGCTGGTTCCTCCCCTCTGTTTGTGTTTGGCTGTGGCGTGCAGCTTGTAGGCTGTTTCGTTCCTCTCTTAGGCCCTGTAGTAATATCTTTGTTTGTGTTTCTTCCTGTTTTAAACAAATGACTGACTGCTCAATCCTCTCTTTTTCTTCCATTAAACTACAAACTGATTGTTTTAACCTGTCCTGGTCTTCTTGTAAAGTGTAAAATGATTGTTCCATGTCTCTCTGTTCCTTCAGAGACATTAATCCATCTCTCTCAATCTTTAAATCGAGCACCGTCTGGCTTAACTGCTCCCTTTCTGTCTGTAAACTTTGTAGTGATTGCATGATTTGATCTTTCTCTTCTTTTTCACTCAAGAGAGATTCAAGCAGTGTCTTGTTTTCTGACTTGAGACCAGATAAACACTTCGCTAGCTGCTCTTTCTCCTCTTTCAGGTCACTTGTAGATTTTATTAACTGATCTCTTTCATCTCTCAGCCCGCAGACAGTCCTGGTGAGCTGCTCTTTTTCCTGTCTGACACCTGCCAAACACTGAGCGATGCTGTCTTTCTCCTCCTTCAGCCCCCAAACTGTCCGGGTTAACTGCTGTTTCACTTCTGTCTGTGTTTTGACTGAGAGAGCTACTTCTCTCTGCTGCTCTTGAGAGAATTTATGTCATCCAGCAGTTCTTCTTGTTCTGTTTTGAGGCTCTGGACAGAGATGGTTTGCTGGCGGTTCTGAACAGATCATAGTGATTGATTTGTTGAGGCACTGTAGCTGTTGTTGAATCATCTGGATGTTGATTGGACATCAGCTTTGGTTTGTCCTCTTTAAGCACACTTTCCACCACATTTTCAACAGATTTTTCTTGGTCATATAATTGAAAACATCCTGATAATACAGCCGTGTTTTCAATCTGCAATTGAGATCCACGCAAGTCCTTTTCAACCTTTGATTCCTCCGTATGCTGTCCACTCTCCTCCAGTCTTTGCTGCATCTCCATGATGGTGTTGAGATCATCCTCAGTCTTCTTGGTGAGTTCGGTAATCAAACCTCCATGTTCCTGGTTTTCCTGCTCTAATCTGGCAACATCTGCCTCTAGCTTGTAAATATGCTTCCTCAGCTGTGTATCCTCAGTCTTAATCTTATCTTCTCTTAGCTCAATGTGAGCCAGAAGCTCCTGGATCCGGTCCGCTAAAGCCCTGTTCTCCTGATTGAGAGCCTGGACAAGATCATCCTGAGCAAGGGCAAGACTGGTGTTACTTTCTGCTCCACCACTGGAGAGTAAAGTGTTAATCTGAGAAGGAAAAAGAGCAAGAACTTGATCAGTGACAGTCTGGAAAGTTTGTTTTTGATTTCTTATCTGTGCAAAACCTTAAGCAGTACTGCAACCTTTGTGAAATACCTTTTCTTTTGAAGCGTCCTCTGCTTCTTGTTTGTCTTCCTCTTTCCTCAGTTTTATTTTCAATCGAGTATTCTCTTGAGTCATCACCTGCAGCTGCTCCTGCGTGTGCTGCAGGGCCACCTCCAGGCGATCACGTTGTTCTTTAAGTGCTTGAAGATCATCTCCAAACCCCAAGCTCCTGTAGGCTTCCCTCAGGGCATCCGATTCCTCACTGGGGCTTTCCTCCAGGTTAAGGATCCCTCTGGAGCACCAGGTGCCAATTTTAAACTCATCAACTGTCTCTGCAGTCAAGGACAGTGACTGGAGGCTGGGGTCGGTTTTGGAGCTAATATGGCTGAAGTGCTTCAGAACGTCATCTTTAGGTGACGTGTCTGATTTGGCAAATGGGAAGTGATCCTCTGTAGCTGTCTGTGTGCGCTTTGCTGTAGCCTGGTGGTGAAAATGTGCGACTGCAGGGGAGTTAGGGAGCCCATTTCCCCATTTGAGGTTCGATTTACCTGCAGAGAGATCAAAGTTGTGGGAAAAAGAGCAGAACAAAACAGAAAGTAATTCATGTAAACATGACAAAGCAATTCAAAATAAAAAACACTTGATGTTAAGATTCACTTGTATAACCATGTGCAATAGGTGGTGGTTATGTAACACTTGAAATCCTAGCAACAGAGCTTTTCTCTTCAGGAGCTTTCCCCCTTTTTTGCTTAATACCTTCTCATAGAATAACAAGAAGGATTTACAACATTAAGCCAATAATAACACCGCATCAAATATTTATTGAGCCTCTACTTATTTGTACAGACTCTTACTGTCTGGCCCAAACAAAAAAAGAGAAAATAAATCACAGAAAATAACTATCTCTACTACCGGTAATCCTCGACCAATGTATGTTATCATAGATGCTTTATTCTCAAGGACGCATATTTCTATCCCACATATTCCTGGCAATCCTACACACAGTGGTGCTGAAGTGAAAGCAGTTCAATTTTTTTTTTTTTTTTTATTTTTAAGTAAATGGTTTAATGCTTTAGCAGTCTTACTTTTAAACTACATGCGGAACGACTGGCACAGAACACGTAAAAATGTGTTTCTACAAGCTACACTGAGACCAGACAAATGTTTTCTGCTGAAGTTTAAGTACTTTAAACCATATACGTAAATCAAATAAACTAATAAAGAAGTTTAAAGTGAAATCTTCTGGACCTTTTAGAGAAGTCTGTGACTCCACATTATCTGTGTTTTCTTGTTTTACTCGTCTCTCTTTTGTCTTCTGTTCTTTGGTTTGTCTTGACAAAACAGTTCTTGATATTACTGACAATACCGGATACAATAAATTGTTTTAATAATGTTAAAGATGTTTTACATACTTCTTCAGAGCTCAACTCTGAGGGATGTAGAATACTGGAGGGCACAGGACAATCAGCAGGGCTGCAGCTGGGCGAGCTGGTCCCGGGGTCGAGACACGTGGACTCAGCGTTTTCAGATAACCGGCAGGATGTTTGGTTAGCTGCATCTCTGACGACCTGCAAGAGTCTGTGGTTCTCCTCTCTCAGCTCTTCCACCTCCTCCAACAAGCAGCTTTCACAATGCTTCAGCCGATTCAACTCGACCTTCATCTCCTCCACCGTGCAGCCCAAGAAGTGACTTTTCTCCTGGGCCCCCTGGAGCTGCTCCATCAGCCCCCTCCTCTGTGTCATCCCATGCTCCTCTCTCTCCAGCAGCACCTGGAGATCCTCCTGTAGGCTCAAGATGAAGCCTTGTAGCCTGACTTCATTTGAGTTCTGATTTTCTTGTATGTTCTTCTCTGTCTTACCATTACTTGGCTGCCATTGCTTCCTCTTCTCCTCCTTTCTCTCCTCCTCTCCTTCACCCTCTCCTCTCATGGGAGGTAGCCTCTCCTGTTCTTCCCAGCGTGTCACTGTCCCAGCAGTGATTCTGACTGCACTTTTCCCCGTTATGCCAGTGGCGGCACTCACAGTCATTTCCAGGAGCTGCTTTTCTAAAGTGTAGATTCTGTTTTGCAGGGTCTGCTCTTTGTCCCGGGCCAGGCTGAGCTTTTGCTGGAGTTGGGTTTTAAAGGTCTCAAAGTACTGGGACTGGCGACTCATCTCGTCCTCTTTGGCCTTCAGCTGCCTCTGACAGCGCTGCAGCCGCTCCCTCCAAACCTGCTCCCCTCGCTCCTTGTCCTGAGTCTGAGGAGAAAAGAGACAAAGATGGGGAAAGACAGAAAATATTACAATCTGAAATACAATAGTGGAGTCTGGAAAACTATTCAACACTGGTAGAATATGTCTAAAACATGTCATAGTATCTATTACCACTGTAGTCCTGACTGTATGAGAAACACAGGGAGTTTTTTTTGGAGTTTGAATTATTTATATCTACAGAACCTCTACAGTGTCATAATTTAAAGGCATGACAGATATACCCAAACAAATCTCAAAGACTGAAAATAAACAAAATATAAATTGGAGAAGTGACAGGTCTCTTTGTTTCAGTTTTTTGGGGGGGTTTGCTAAATGTATGGCCCTTCAGAAGTCAACCCAGAAAAAAAAATAGATGATGTCACCAAATAAGCATAACTTATGAAATAAGAATTGATGTGATAATTTAAAAAGAAATGCCACAGATGTATAATAAACACAACATGTCACATGTCGCTTAATTTCAACTTTTCACAACTGTTTACCATAAAAGTTCAAATAAAAGGTAAAAAATTGAATACACAAATGTGAACAGCCTCTGAGAAGATGTTCCTTTGGAGATGCTTGATGGCCTAGAGGTAAATACATTAGCAAGCAAAAACCTGTAGCAAAAAAAACATCAGCACTGAATAAAAAGGTATTCAACTTTTAATAATTAAGATAAACAGCAGCAGAAGGGAACAACATGTAGACCCTTTACCATTTATTCCTCCTAACCCTGCACACTGAACACGCATTTTAGTCTAGATCTGCTGTTGGGGTAATTAAAAACCTGTGTGACTAAAATCATCTTGCAAGATTCACACACCCACTACACTCTTCATGTTAGAGGTCATTGCCTGTTGATAGATTTAAAGATCCTGAGCACTCACCATCGTCCTGACCTCCTCCCTGAGCATGTGGAGTTTCTGGTCCAGCCTCTGGGATAAGTGTTGCATGCTGAGGAGTTGGGCGACAGAGGCTAGCTGGTAGAGCTGCAGCAGTAGACTCCTCTCTGAGCTCTTCAGCTCTCTGATCCTGACTCCGCAAGACGGCACAGACAAGATCACATGACATCATCCGATTAACTTCCCGTGAATTTTAATACCAACACTAAGCAGGATGGTTAAATATCTTCCAAAGGCAATTCATCTCAAAATCTACAAATGAGATTCAGTTTGATCCTTCTAATGTCAGAAAAGATGGAAACAAATGTAACTCCTGGGTAGACAGCAGCAGCAGCAGGAAGCTTGCATGCAAGTGTGCTGCACAGTCAGGTGCGTTTGATATGTGATAGCACCTTGCCCAAAAGTGCGTATATAGTGGCAGGTAGGTGTGTGTGTGTGTGTGTGTGTGTCACTGGATCTGCTCTCCTCCAGTCTCTCACCTGTTCCTAAGGTACTTGTCATTCTGGAGGGGGCTGCTTCACTATCTCAGGACCTTCACTCTGTTGCCTAGTTCAGATGGTGGTTTGGTCTCATTGAGTCCATTACTGTGGTTCCAGAACTGCTTACGGTACTCCTCCTGTCTGATGAGGTCATGTGATCCTCGATTGAGTATCCTGTGGATATCCAGGAGTTTCACCTGTAACATGGTGTCAGATTTAGTCAGCAAAACAATACTGTACATTTTTACACAACTCCCCATAAGTGCTTTTTTTTTTTTTTTTAAGTACAACGAAAACATTTCAAACACACATACATTGGTAAAGATAGACATATATGAAGATACACAAACACAAAATACAGTCATCTATAATTCACCACGTCAACAGCTTGGTAGCAAGTAATCCAGTACAGGTGTCTCTCAGGTTACCACGCCCCCTAATCATCCTGTTTCCCCCTCTACACTCTCTGCCACATTTTACAAATACTATCATCCAAAAAAAAACAAATTCTATTTTTTAAATGTTTTAAATCTATTTTAAAACATGCTCACGTGGTTGTTCTGGCAGAGAAAGAGGTTTTATCTGCTGTAATCATAATCATGCTATGTTCATATTTTTTTTTTTCATTTGTGTAAGAATGCAACATTCAGGATAACCTTGAGTAAAGTAAAAGTAAAATCAGAAAACAATAATAATTGTCTGTTTTTGAGTAGTAACTCTATTGACTGTTTTCCAAAACACTTAAATCCATATAACCTTAACGATGTGTACGAATGGTATATATTTTCAAAGGTAAACTTAAATAATAACCTGATTTTTAGCTCCGCTTATCACAGCTATATCTCCTCAATGCAGTCATGAGCTTCCAATAAGTTCAGCTTCGGCTCTGTGAACTTGGTTGTGCTGTTGTTTCCTTGGATACGGTACAGACACTGGACTCTGCCAAAATCCTTTATTTCCAGTTGGCACTCTTCTTGCTCAGTTCCTCGCTCGGCCATGTACTTTTCACTCCTCTTCTACTCCCTCTCTCTCTCTCTCTCTCTCCCTTTTGTTTGATTTTCCAACCGGGCATTGCTTCATTTCAGACTGTGGCTCTTCTCCCTTTAATAAATCCTCTGATTCAGAGTTTTCTCTCAGTATATCTGTGTTAGCTTCTCACAGAGGAGTTATTTTGTTCCAGGTCCAGGAATATCATCAGTAAATGTTATTTATAAATAAATATCACTTTAATTTCATGTCTATCAGGTTATTTATCACAATTTCAAATGCATTCCAGGTAAGGTTCTTCTGCAAAAGTGCACACTTATCAAAAAGGCCATAGGGTTTTCGTTGGCTGTCTACAGATGCATAAAAAACAAAGTTTTTGTTAGTCCTCACTTGTCTCCACAGCACCGAAACACCTAAGAAAAATAAAAAAAATACATAGTCTTTCAAAATCCTTATTATGTTTTAATTACTCTATAACTGGATTTAATATTAATATGATAGAGTGAGTAAAGGAGGTACCTGATGTGGGTCCAGAGTCAGTATCATTAAGGCCAAAGAATAAATGCTAAAGAGAAAAACAAAAAGAGGAACAAAAACTAAAGGGGTACAGGGGGGTAGGGGTTAATGGACAGATGAAAAAAGGAAAAAGAAAATAGAGAGAGGAAGTTAATAAAACAAAACACAGCATCAGAGCAGTAGATGTAAAGTCCTTCACATTCTTATGAAAATATTTGCCTAGTTAAGTTACTGTTGACATAATTTTCTCTTACAACAAAAAAAAAGTGAAAATATACCTTCTCCTCTATATCCTTTATTTGTCTCCTTTGCAAGTCGATCCTGTCCTCCAGCTCTCTTATTCTCTGCAGGGCAAAGAAAGACGTGGTAAGAGGGGAGGATGTGATCGTCTCTAAAACCAAAACCATTTTGCAGATCTCTTTAAGTCATTCATCTCTTCTTTTGTTTTTAAAGGTTTAGTTTTGGGCTTTTTGTGCCTACGCTATGAGAGGTAGGAGAGTTAACAGAGTCAGATATCAGGAAGAAAGAGAATTGGGAAATGACATGCGGGAAAGGAGCCACAGGTCAGATTTGAACCCAGGGTCGTCTGCTTAAAGGACCTGCCTCCGTAAATGGGACGCACGCACTAACCACTACGGCACTACGACACTGGTCGTACTCTTTAACAAACAGGTTTTCTTCAATAAAACACAAACATTTCTATTTCATCCCTGCTGACCGCCAGAGGCGGTGCTTAAAGAACTGAATATTCCCTTCACGCATGAGCAGTTCGAGTATGTATACCAACAATGTCACTTGTGACCCCTGGATGACCCGAGAGAGGTTATATCTTCCAGTGTCATCCGGGGTTCTGTTCCTACAGAATCTTCTCGCGGGATCACGAGGATTCTGAGTGACAGAGCGCTCTGGCGGTCTTTCGGGATTCATAGAACCATAGTTACTTTCGTAACTTTCATTTTATGCTTTACTTACACACTAATATTAATAAAATCATAATAGTCATAATACAGTAAAAGTTTGGGTTACAATTACTACATTGTTGAGTCAACATGGGGACTGACAAGGTATTTAAACTGAACCACATCTGTGGGGACAAAATAACCAACACTACAATTTTGATGCAAATGGACAAGGCATAACAGATACACTCTGGCCAAGAAAGTGCCCTCTGATTACATGACTAACTTCAGTAAATATTTGATTTGTTTGTTAATATAATGAGTTGTATGTCATACGGTGTTCAGGGTTAGGGATCGGGCAAACCTTGTTAGTAACTTGCAGTTTAACTGATTCAATGAGATTGATGGTGCTGTGGTTGTTGATGAACTGAATGAATAACATTTACTGTACGAGCCATGGGTGCATACTACTGTGAGAGCTGCAGAGTGGAAGGATACTGAAGAATGGAGGGGTCAGATCACAATGATAAACACACAGTAACACAACCATTCTGTCTTATCTTATCATCCTTTCATCTCTACAAATGCACTTACAGGTAGAGTTAGAGGTTGAACACACAGGGATACTGCATCTTTTTAAGAGCACCAAAGGTCTGGTGGGGTCAGACGTTTCAGACAGGGGCCAGGGTCAGATTGAAGGAGGGCAGGACTCTGTAACCTGACTTGTTTTGTTTTAAGCCTTACCTGCTGGGCCTGCTGTAGGAGCTCCATGCGCTCCTGTAAGATCTGACTGTCAAACTGCCGGCTCTGCCGGAGAATCTGACGCCGCAGCTTCTCCACAGCTAGCCTCAGCTCCTCCCTCTGCCTGTCTGTCAGCGACTCGGCCACTTCCCGGCATGCCGGCTGCTCCTGCTGCAGAGCGCTATACAGGGTGGCCTCCAGCTCCTCGATCCTCTGCACAGCCAGCCACATACACACACACACACAGGTACACAAACACACACAGACACACGTGAACGTGCACATGCGCATGCAGACACACAGGCATGCAAAAGCACAAGCACACACATTGAGTCACACACACAAACAAACACATACATACACCACTGTGACCATGGCAGATATGGGGAACACTGTTCCACTTCATATTGGGGGTTATTCAGGCTTGACCTTCACATGGTAACTACAAGATGGTAACACAAACATATTTGAATTCTTAGTCAACTATAGGTGAACTGTTCTGAGAAGTTACCATGTCAAATCCAAACCTTCACCCACACAGCATGAATTGGAACAATAAACACAAACCAACATTAAACTGACTGAGTCAAATGGTTAATACTTTATGAGAGTGGCCTAGATACTAAGTGTTGACTAGTTTTGTGGGTTCAGCCTATTGACCTCTGTGGGATGATAGATAGTTTTGAGATCGTTCACGCTAACTAGATCCATCATCAAAATATTTTGAACCCACAGTGCTTTCTTATTTGTCATGCTACACAGGAGTTTCAGTATCATATCCTAATACTTGATGTTTTAAGAGATCAGTTCATTGCCTTCTCAGTAGACAAATGAGTATTAGTTTTATAAACGAGAGGCCCAATATCCTGGCTAATTCAGTGGCTTGACTGTTTTTGTTCACAACTGTTTTTACTTCAGTGGTAAAAGATGCAGTATCCCGAAAAATTGAGACAATTTTAACTTTAATGGATCATTGATGATGTTTGAATGGGTTCCAAATGTTTATGTGTCATGCTGGGATGAAAATGTCCGCCTTTATCATAAACCATTATGCCTTGTGTACAGCCTAGGTTTGTGTTTTAATAAATATAAACATAGTGAATTTTGTGTAATTTCAAAGCAAGCCTTGTATTTAGAGACAGGTTATACTGCGCCAGGCTACGTACCATGTAGGCCTGGTCCAAGGCCTGCTTCCTATAGTCCAGCTCTTCCTCCAGGAATCCCTTCTGCTTACTGAACAGCTCCTGCAAAAAGATACAAGACATTGTACCACCACTGAAAATTACAGGTTATTGTGGATCAATAACCTGAAAAATCATGTCCACTGTTTCTTTTATTTTAAGTTTATGATTGGTCTACTGTGCATTATTGATAGGACAGTGGATAGAGTTGGAAACAGGAATGAGAGAGTGGGGAAGGACATGCAGGAAAGGAGCCGCAAGTCAAACCATGGCCGTTCGTTTGGAGAACAATAGGCTCCGTACATGGGGCACCCAACAAAACTGCAAGGCTATTCTTTGTGGTAAATGGATTTTTCACCTTGTCATTTTCCACGTCGATCATCTTCTGTGTCAGGGCAGCCTCTGTGCTATCTATTTGCTTCAACCACTGTATAGGGAATATTGAGACAATGTGGAAAGACAGGGGGTTAATAATTTCACTAGTCAAAATAACTGTATCATTTCTATCCATATTTATGTTAATCAAAAAACTGTCCAAATGTGACGGCTATTATAGGAGTAAATTGAGTGCAATGGTAATGTTTGTCCACTGGGTGTCAGTAAAAACATGCGTGAGGTTTTTCTCTCACCTTCTCACACAGTGAGATCACTGTCCCTGCCTGGATCACTGCTACCTGCTCCTCATTTCTGAGATTCTTCAGAAAATAAAACAGGCAAACATAAGATAAAAAAAAACAAAGGATACCAGACCTTCTTTTAATCCAACAGTTTTTCACCTCACCCCATTATCCCCTAGGATATCCAGTTTCTTCATGAGTTCAGGAATGATGACATCCTGCACAAAGGTCAGAATAAGATAACATTAATTACCCTAACATTAACGCTGTAAATGTGACAGTCTGAAGGAGAAAGGTTAGTTTAAGTGTCATAACCTTAACTCCCTCCTGGTGGCAGTAGATCTGAAGGGCGCTGCTGCTATTCTCAGGAAACGCAGACATGTGGAGATTGAGGGCAGGAGATCGACGCTCCCTCTCCTACAGAACAGTACAAGCTATTTAAATTCTTATACACACACACAACTAAAACATCATGACTTCTACCAAACTCACATTATTACAGTTATGTAACAGTTTTTATCATGTTGGTGGTGGCGCACAGTGCGACTCGAAGAGAACAACAGACACTGAATTTGATGTAGTGAATGTGAATGTGAGTGGAAAGGGAGTGAATCAGGGATTTACTTACATGAAACTGAAAACATGGTCAGGATCTGCCAAAATGAGGGAGGTGGAAACCCATAGATTTAAATGGGACAATGAACTCAACCAAACCAATAGGGAGTACCATAACACATGCAGAAACTCAAAGAAATGCTTTTCTGTCTAAATTAAGCCACAACTGCTACATAAAGTGACACATTGTGACAAGTGGCCTCTTGGCAAACAACATGCCTTATTGTTATATTTGTAAATTTAATATAAAAGAAAACAACATGAAGTCAACAAATGTCACCCCAAATGTCAATCTGTCCTTAATTATCAGTGGAAACAACAACATGAAAGGGTAAACAAGATGTTCAACATATATGTAAAAAATGAGAGACAAAATGAACAAAGGTGGGATTAAATGGTCAACTTAAATACATTTTATTCAATTTAAAATCATATTTATCTTAACACAACTTTCTTAAAAAAATATTCCAGTTCAGAGGACGGGGTATACACACAGCTGCCATGCAAAACAATGCAACACACAGATGCATACAGAGGACTCAGGTACGTGTACATAGTATGTTTGTCTATGTGCTGAGTCACTGTATGTAAGTCTTGAGTTTGGAACTGATGTTGTTGTTGTCGCTTCCTGGTGACAGTATGACGCTGGTACATTCTCTTACTTCCAGTTCAAGCACCCTGAACTCCAGCAGCTCATTCTGATCCCGGGCATCCTGAACCTCGGCCTGCAGACGTGTCTCTGTCCGCTGCAACGCACACATCTACAGACACACACACACAAACGCATCAATGTCACACAAATTCACTTATTTTACATATTTACAATTCACTTTGAAAAACCCATGTGCTGAATCATTTCAGGTGGCTGAAAATGTTCTGCCGATCAAAAATCTCACAATGGATCCTCTTGCACTTTCATAAAAAACAATTGTGACTTATAAGTTGTAAGAAGAATATACTGTAGTTTACCGAAGGAATCAGATCACTCCCATCTTCATGTTTTTCTTTTCTCTAATCACTATGCTCTATAGAGATGAATAACTTTTCCAACAGAAATCAGGCATGCTCCAGCTTTGACTTCTTTTAAATCAGTATCAAAAACTTTAAAGGCTATATGAACCTTCAACCCTTCTCTGGGTTAGTTATAAGAGTGCAGTAGCATCTGTCCAACATGCAACTCCATGGCATACATTGGTTCCTGGATACCTTGTTTGGCATTATCCCTTTAATAATAATAACCCTTCTTTATGTAAATAAAAAAAAAGCTTTGCAGCCGAATTTAACATTTGCAAATGTATTCATTCACCAAAGTTGGACACTGAATTTCAAATCAGTAACATGGTGTTGTATCAGCAATAGCATTTAAAGTTTAAATAATATCAAGCTCTGGTTGGCATTAATTAAGTTTGAAAGAATGCAATATTACAGAAATATGCCACAGGAACGACATTGCTAATGACATGTGCAGCCTACCTTCTCATGAAGATCTTGGTTGGTCCTGAGCAAGTACTGCTTCTCCTCGACCCACTTTGAATCCTGCCATGACAACCAAACACAACATCAGCAAGAAATGTCACTAGAAAGAAAAGGGAAGGAAGGAAAGGATCCCACAACAGGGTGTAATTAACGAAGCTGTCAGCCAACTCAAAACATAACACATGGTGACCATCTGCTGCCTTTCCAAATGACACATGCAAATGTTCCATAGACACAAACAGACAGGAACAGAGTGGGAGTGGAACAAGTTTATTGATCCAAAGAAATAAGAAAACTCCCAAGATAACAGGCAATAGAGCTGCAACCACGGGTAACATGATTTTACCCTAACAGGAGGAAAAAAGACGTTCTGAAGTGAGACACATCAGAGCAGAAAACCAAAATAACAGAGGTGAATCAAGCAACACATGCAACATGAGGTGACAAAGGAACAAATACAGAAAAGCTGAATGCATTATAATACAATACATTATTATTATTGTAGTATTCTTCATGATATTCAATGTAGAGTATATTTAAGGTGTTTAACGTCAGCCTAATCTTTATATCTTCTTAGTTTTGATACATTAGCCGGTTATTCTTCTTCATGTGAATTTGTTTGTCTTAATTCTTCAACCAAATATTTCAAAATGACTTTCGAACATGTGAATTAAAATAAAAAACTATTGAAACCTGTGCATTTTCAGATTTACAAAAGGTGAAACATCATGGGACAAGAATGTTTTGTTTCTATTCATAGCTTTAACAGTCCTCTCCAGGCTCGACAGCAGCAGAAGGCTCGAGACACAAAGCGAACAACAGGAAGAACAGAGGATGAGGGCAGAGCATGCAGGCCAGTGAGAGCAGGACCAGTGAGTTCCTGTTACAATCCCCCGTCTTTGTTACCTGCCCCCTTTCTGCCAGGGCCTTCTCCAGGTCCATGATTTTGGCCTGACAGCTGCATAGGTCCACCTGCAGCTGCTCGCGTGTCTGTGGGGAGAATGACGGCAGTCAGGGAGAAGGGTGCAAATTGAAATATTTATTTACAAAAATGTAATAGAATAAGCTTCAGTTTAAATTCACTTCTAACATCCTAAGTCATATTTGTTTGAAAAGAAAAGTATATGAGAAGAGTGGATTATAAATAAAGTGGGCAGAGAGGTTAGAAGAGATAGTACAGACCCTGGCCTCCCTCTCAGCATCCATAGAGCCCCCTGTCTGCTCCTGTAGGAGGGCGTAGGCCCGCTGGAGAGCCTGGTACTCTCTGGTCAACTGACGGAAGCGAAGCTCTGACTCTTCACGGGTAACAGTCTTTTTTATGGAAAGCAAAACATCCAAAGTATGAAAGATGAAGGGGGTGATTCAAATGCATACAAACCTTCACATCAACTTATTTGTAAGCCCATCTTTTTATCTGAAAATAACTTTTGATGGTATGTTTTTCTCATCTGTTAGACTATAGACTATAGCTCACATTAATTCTACAGTACATTATGTATACAATGGACTTTCTTACGTCTTCCAAATCCTCCTCTGGGGTTGCAGGCGTGCGGTCAGTGAGGTCAGTATTATAGGAAGTCATAGAAGAGGTCTCAGAGTCGATCGACTCCTCATCAAATCCAAAATACGTCTCCACAACATGCCTCTGCAAAAGAAAGAGAGGTGACAGAAGACATAATCACTATACATTACAAATAAAACTTTAACATCTATTTGTTGCCCAAACTACTGAAAGCCAAAATAAAATCAATCATCTGGATTACATCAAACTTGATTTCAGGTGTAGTATTTGAATTCAATAAAGCGCCTCCACACGTCTGCTTATGATATCCCAAAAGCTCTCTTTTCAACTTGAGTAATTCACCAACATTCAGTCTTATCATATTGAAATTTAATCACATCTGTTGAAATCTGTGTATATTTATTCAGTTCTTTCCTGCTGTTAACTACTCCAAACCCCATCGGGTGCTTACCATCGTGTTTATAAGTCATCTCCTGGCAACCAGAGAAGTAGAGGCAGACTAAAGCACAGAGGCAGATGAAGGAGGAGAAGTAGAGGATAAGGAGGATGTACTCCGTCATGATGCACTCGAACAAAAACCTCAACACTTAACTATAAAGAATCTTCAGAAAATAAGTCTGTCATATCTACAAGAAAATGGGCTGAGCTATAAAGCGTTTTATTATTATAAAAAAAAGAGGCTTTCAGTTGCTCTCCCACACAAAGTAGATAAGCTTCTGGTAACAATCAAACTACTCCCACTGAAAAATCCAAAAAGCAGCTTCTGTTTTTTTTTTTTTTTTATCTCCAGGCTGAAGTATTCAGTTTGGTTTAAATTCCCGAAAAAGCGCAAGTCCAAAAGCCAAGTCGCTGTGCCCAACAGTGCATCCACCTAGCCAAGGTGACTAACTGGATCCAGCAGCAGAGGTGGAGGAAGGTATCTGACAAACAGGCACAAACTCCTCCTAGCAACATCAGAGACACTAAAATGTTCCCTGGTGTATAAACCCAAACATGTACTCTAAACCACACACAAGCATACATACACAACTGCATACACACATAAAGGCACAACACCTTTTCTTCTCATCAAGAAACATCACATACTTAGCTAGCCGTGACCCCTTTCTCTCTTATCTCATACATGCCGGGCAAAAAGAAAAAAACACTCAAATTAGGTTAGCAGTGTTCATAAGAAATCATTAATTTATCCTACATTAATCTGAGTACTCAAAATGAAATGAAACAAAAGGTTAATAATTATCATAGTTATCATAGTTTTCCACTTGCTCTGGGACCCACTCATGCATGATTTGTGTGTGCTCAGTGTGATTCTCCCTGCTGTGAAGGACACAGTCATCATTGTCCCCTGAGCCCAATTAAACACACACACACACACACACACACACACACACACACACACACACACACACACACACACACACACACACACACACACACACACACACACACACACACACACACACACACACACACACACACACACACACACACACACACACACACACACACACACACACACACACACACACACACACACACACACACTTAATTGAACCTCTGAGTAGGTAGTTGCTGAGTTACACATCACTGGATTGACTGAGGTTTCTCAACGCTCATGGACACTTACTTTCGACAGTTTGAGAGGTTTCCTTCTGGTTTTTTTGGCCATGACCAACCGGTCACGTTCCTAAAGAGAAGAATGACAGACATGGTACTCAAGAGTTCACAACATTTAATAAAAATGAAACATGAATCATAAAGTTGTTATGAAGCACAGAAAACAATAAAAGAAGGATTGAAGTGAGGGCTGAAATCTCTTCACGATGAGGGTGTAGCAGCCTTATACAATGGATGAAGAAGGGAAAATTAAAAACAACTAAATGTTTGGAGAGGGAGGGCAAGTTAAGTCTAATCAAACGAAACACTCTTCTGAATAAGAGATTCTGTGCACATGAAAACAGATATAACCAGACAAAACTAAGGGGAGCGTGGTCAAAAGAAGACAGAGCTAGTGCTTTCACAATCTGATTGGAATTATGACATGTAAATGGAATGGAAAAAATAAGAGGTCTATTGTATTAAGCAGATTTTACAAATGTATCTAATGTGGTAGCAGGTGGGTTAAGTCATATTCACAGATTGTTTTAACAATGGTGTGTTTTTTCAAGAAAACCAACTGATTTTTTTTTTTTTATGTATAAAGCGTGAATACATTTTATTGCCATTCCAGTGATCTAAAAACCTGACGAACATAAGCACAATATTTACATAAAACAATTCTTACTATGACAGCATTACTCCAGTTAAAAATGATTTAAAGTTAGAGTTACAATACAGCAGAACTAACCGTATAAAGAAATGTTATGCAAGAGTTGAATATCTACCATCTGACAGTTTTTATCCTATTCAATATTTACAAATCAGAAAAACTGACCTGCACAAGCTCGTCAATGATGCCTTGTTGCTCAGCAACCTGCAGCTTGAGGAACTCCACTTCCTGTTCCTCATGGGCGTGGCTCAGGTCTGTCAGGGAGCTGGGACGCTTTAGCTGTGGCTGAATGGACTGCTGTTGTGAGGGGGGGCGAGAGGACGAGGCTTTTTCCTTCTGAGGTACAGAAGACAGAGCGACATGAGACAGATGATGATCGGTTGAAGAACTATTTTATGCATTTCCTCAAGTAGCCAGTAGAGGTCCTGCTTCTGTTTTTTGTTGAAATTTTCAATGTTACACGAACAGTACAGTGACTACAATCCCTCATAAATAGAGTAAATCCATATCAACTGCTTTGTCCACGAGTATTTATACTAAAATGCAAAAAGAGATTAAAAACATATGCTTGCTGCATTTTACCATCTCAGCGTTCTCTCGACTCAAGGTCTTCAGTTTCTCCTCCATGCGTTGAAGCGTTTGTAGGAGGTCGTCATTCTTCTTTGACAGTCTTTTGTTCTTCTCAAATATTGGCTTCATTTGGCTCTCTGCCTCTCGCACCCGCTTCACCTAGTAAGAGGAAGGAAACCGGGAGAGGAAACACTGTAATCTTAAGCTTTGACTTCAAGTGACACTGAATTTTCAAGCAGAAGAGAGCTGATCAAGACTAGAGGAATCAAACGTAAATGTTTTTATACAGCACTTACAGGTATGTATGTTTATTGTGTATATCAGTGCTAAGTGTAACAGCATGTTTGTACTCTAGAGGAATTCTTAAGACTTCTCATGCCTATAATCACTACATTTATGTTCAGTTCAGTGAATTTTCCTCACTAGTTCATTCCTCTCATCAGCAAGCAGTGCATTTCTGTCCTCAAGTTTCCTGATGACTGAGTGGAGCTCCGCTATCTTCAGCTGGAACCTCCTCATGTCACGCTCCTCTACCTCCTGTGGAAGAGAGGGGAGAGGAGAGGAAGAGGAAAACCAAATCTAAAAAAAAAGGTTTACATGCAGGCAGGCAAGAAGGCAAATAATGGAAGGAGTTGGGACAGAGGAGGCGGTGGGATGAAGGATGAGACGTCTTTTACACAGTGCAACTGTTAACCTGAATGTGCATATACAGATAGTATATCCACAAGCTTTTCATTAATGTATGAGCTGAAGCTTTGAATTGTGTTTATTCTTCCTCTATACCAGGAAAAGGAAGATTTAGAGTTCAATCAAAGTCTAAATCAGGAAATCTATTACACATCTCATGAAACATCTCAAATCTGCATGAATTTGGTTCTGTTTAATACAACACAAATGGTGCTATCTACATCACCAGCAACTCAGAACAACAAAGAAATTCCTTTTATGGCCGTATTATGGTCTTATATATGTAGGTCACATTTCAGAATGTCTGAGGGAATGTGGAGGTATCATTGCATCCATGTACAGAAGCATATGCACTTATTTTATTATTTGTGTACCTGGTTGTTGAGCAGGTCCTGTTGGTCCCCCAGCCCAGGCACCACCTCCCTCTTGGGGCTGCCATGGTTGTACCTCTCGGCCTCTCGTACCTGCCCGAGCTGCTCATCCAGGGCTTCCTTCTGAAGCTGAAGCTTCTGAGCATAGCCGGCCTGCAGCCCCAGCTCCCTCTCCAGAGCACCCACCACCCGGTCCTTCGACTTCAACTCATCCATCTATAAAAGGATGGACAGAAAAAAGAAAACGAAAAAGGAACAGTAATTTGGTTGTTTTCTGTTGGATCTGTGTGTTAATATGTTTGCTAAGAATGATGCTGAAGTTTCAACCGCAGGTTTTACACCATCTACACCTTACCTACGACTGAAAGGCTGTATGCTCAAATGGCTCAAAATAAGGGTGTGTTTTATCTTAGAAAAAAGTGCTTCGGCTGTGATTTATTTATGGAGCTTTGTACTTGCTCTGCACTCAAACAACTTCTTCTGACAAATGTTTCTGCCTCTGCTCCTTCCATATTTTTTCTTTGACACTGGTAATTCCTGCACTGCATGCTCTGCATCATCAGCCATGAATTACTAATTCACCACCTTTTAAAGGCCCATGTTCGAACATTCCTTTAGTGACTAAAATGCTTCGTATTGTAGCCCTTCTGTGAATGATAGAAGTTAATGAGTAACTGCAGACCTGTAGACTTTAATTTTGGTAGATAACCACCAGAATGATGAGATGGAGCAAAGACAGGCAGCTCAGCAGCTAGCCTTTATCCCTGATACGAGGACAGTTAGATAACTACTGCACTGGAACTGAACATCAAAAGCAGGAAAACAGATGTCATGTGTAGGGGAGTCTTTGTGATTTCCAAATGGGGTTGAGACAGACCATAAAACTAACAGCTGCTGGGTCTGTCAAGCTTACCTTTCTTGGAATGATTATATATGGTTTGCATCACAGTATGAGATGTTTTCTTCTCATCATGACAGCTCCAAATTTGTATATTTCATTCATTTTGCTTGCGGGAATGGACATGAAATGACTTGTTGTTTTTTATTCAAACAGATGCACAAGGGGTATAGTGATAAGATGTTGTAAGACAGGGACCAAAACATGTGTTCTAACTCAGCTTCTCATTTTGAGCAATGGAGTCCTAAAGAACTGTATTTTGAATTACAATTAATAGCTTTCTGTATGTTTTGCGAGAATTAGGTGCTCACAACATTATAATCTAAAAGTGGAGATTGTTGTGTGGCTGTTTGCTTAATTTGCAGGACACTGACAATAAATGTGATCAAACCACACTCACAAAGTCCTGATTCTCACTTTTTCTTTGTTAGTAACAATTTATATAATACCTTAGGTTATACTTTTTACCTCTGACAAGTAGTTTATATTATTTAATGTCAGATTTTTTTCAGGAGGGTTACAGAAAAGTTACTGGCATGATTTTCATGAAGCCTGTTGAACTCTTTGAGCCAATAGAGGACACATTAACTTTGTAGCGGATAAAGAAAACATGATGTGAGTAACATACAACAAAATCTAACCACCTCAAATTTGCCTTTGCAGAGACCTTTGCTCCCAGAGGTCCTCTCTAATTACTAATTTTATCATGAATAGTTCAAATTATTGAGACATTTCAAGAAAGTTTGGACAGGTTATTATATACAATAAATTCAACTTGACTTACATTTGACTTTGTCAAAAACTGTAACAGTCTGTTAGAGAAGATTTTCATTCTACAGTCTGTACCAGGTATTCTTCCAAGAGTGTCTGTGGGTAATATTTTAATTCATCAGCCGTTCTTTAAAGACGTATATGCTGGCCATGGCCGGTTTAAGATGATAAATACTGTATGAAGTGTCTGCAGGGTATGTCATGCATGCAGCATGTGGCCTTACCAGTCTACGGATGTCTCTCTCACAGTCCCGTTTGATACGGTGCACCTCATCCTGGTGCTGTTGGTAGGCTGTGCGCAGATCTGTTGCTTTGGCTTTATCCGCCTGCAGAGCATGTGCAAGCGCCTCTTCCGCCTGCTTCCTGGCTGTCTTTTGCTCCTGGATCTAAAATACACACCACACACTCAAACACTTGTATATTACACACAAAAAGAACAACAACAAAGAGAGTAACACCCATATATTTCCTTTCTATCAAACAGTTGTGAGGATAGATGACCTGTTTGTCTGGAAAGGCTATAGTGAAACAATAGCTTGGCAACAGGCTTTTCCAAAATGCTTCCTGTTTTTCAACAGTGAATTTACAAAGGTTTACACAGTCCCACATCAACAATAAACACACATGTACACTCACTTAATTGTTCCAGAAGGTCTATAACACATAAAACAAACAAAATAGGCTGATTATTTTTGTGAGAAGCAGGGCATACCAGAGGTTGTGTACACAGCTTTACATTAACACTTAGTTTTAACACATCTATGATAAAAACTTAGTTTATCCACCTACGCACAGTACATGCTACAACCCACCTCTTGCTGTAGCTTCAGCCTTTCCCCATCAAACGCTCTCCTGGCCTCCTCCCGAGCCTCTCCGAGAAGAGCATTTTTAAGCTTGTCAGCAGCTCCATCTCTCAGTGCGTTTACAAGCCCCTGGAGCCTCTGCACCTCTGCATCCCGGATCTTGATGGACCGGGCCAGCTCGACTTCATGCTGCCGCGCCAGGCCTTCGCGGACAGCGGCTATCTCACGGAGCTTCTCTTCGTGGAGTTTGGCGCGCAGGTCGGTGACCGCTACAACATGTTTGTGCTGCTCGAGCTCCCGCGCCTGCCGCTGTTCCTGCAGCCTCTCACGGAGCTTGCATATCTGCAAGACATGCGTGTGACATTTAAAAGGGATGTCGCGCAAAATGTCCAGTGACCTAACATCAACTCCACCTCTGTATGACCTGTAAATAAAGACTGATATACATAAGAGAAGTTACTATAGCTATAATCCAGAGGTTCAATCCTTCAGGGGTTGTCTGAGATTCAAACAAAAGCTCAACCTGACACACTTTTATATTTATTGAATGTCTGGGCTGTTGCGCAGGACAAGAATGTGTGTATTTCTTTATCTGAACTAGCTGCTCCTAGCGGCTTTGTTATAAACCAAATACAAGAATTAACTGAATGGAGCAGGGTAACAACATGGCAGTTTTCGCTTGTGAATATCATGAATACAATATGCTTTGTGGATTGGACCTTTTCCAAGAGTGGGGGTAAATATATCGGTCATGTAAGTATAGAAATGTTTTGCAATGGCATAGGCTGAGCACAGATCACCATTGTCATACATCCTGGTATAAGTGTTCGATTTTAAAAAAGGAGAGCACCTCTTTGCTGTCATTATGTTACTACACAAGACGTAGGCTTCTTCATCGTCGTCTTCCTGCCTCTCACCTTGCCTCGCTCCTGCTGCAGCTCAATCTGGACATCCATGACTTTGGTCCTCAGCTCCTCATTGGTGGCCTGCACAGAGTCAGCCATCACCTCCGACTTCTCCGGCTTCCTTCCCTTTTTAAAGGGCGGGGCCGCAGGGGGTGTGGCTGATGACATAGTACTCTGGCCGCCCAATCAGGACGGACATAGAGTGCCAGGTGTGGTGTAAAGGAGGAGAGAATCAGTCGCTGCTCCTCCTCCCTGCGAGGCCCTGCGTCAGTGTCGTCATCATCATTATGTCGTTCTAAAGTCTACATCATTGCTTTTGGTTGTTGGGACTCTCTGTTTTGGAAACACAAACACACAAACAGAGAGAAAGAAAATAAATCATGGAATAGTGAGTCAGTGTTAAAAAAAAAAGAAACTGGGTTACACAGCACTACTCTGCACAAAATACTGGGCCAAAGCCACATGAGGCACTACAGCCTTGGGAAAACAGACTATTTTTGGGATAACATTTACACTCTGCTCTGTCACCCTCCTGTCTCTACGATACACATGTGGGCAATTTATCATCATCCTGTTCCAGTCCCTTGGTTGTATTTAGAAGCTCCATAGAGCATAAAAACAGTCTGACCACCATAGTTATGGTACCTGGCCTTTCACTTATACTTCAGAAGACCGATGGAAAACAAGACCTCAGAATGCAAAAAAAAAAAAAAAAAAACTGTCCTAGCCTCACTGAAGTCTCCACAGAATAAACTAATCATGACATACCAGCTGTCTTTTGACAAAAATTCAATGAGGTGAAGTAACAGAGTTAATGGACATGTCCTTGGAAAGCATATATATATATATATATATATATATAATGTATGCACTAAGTTGGAAAAATGCTGTCCTCTAAATGAACCACACACAAACCATGAAAAATATAGAGAGATTTAAATTAATGATTTGTTTAGTCTTCTGCTTTTTCCTACTTAAAGAAGGCATCAGTTGTGTCAGCATGTGTATAAGTGGCATGGAATAAGGTTCTACAATGATACGTTCAGAGAGCAGAAACTGGACTCCTCTAATCTCTTCCTGGAACGAATTGTAACCCAGTAACCTTCAGGTCTGTCTATAAACTATTGAATAAATAACGAAGGAGCTGAAGCATTAAATGCTGCCATCTTTTTCTGCACACACACACATTACCTTGCATTAATACAACATCCACAGATGGCAGAAATAGTTACCAAGGCAACCCTTGCTCTCAAAAACTATTCCTCAAACAGCAAAGGATGATGGGAAGGAGGGGACTCATTGTGGATATGAATCACACACATAAACACTGACACTGTGCACACAGGATTGCATCATATAAAGGCTGCACACTCCAGGAAAACACAAATATCCGCACATGACTGCTTTATCTTGTACAACCTCTGAGCATAGGTTGACTGAGAGACAGAAATGCATTGGTGCTGGAGGGCAAGGAAGCTTTCTACCACATTCATTTTTATACAACACACACAGTCAGACGCTGGGTACCAGCAGGGATGGGAAAGAACAAGAATGAAAGCATGAGGGAGAGAGAAGGGGGAGGTACAGGAGAGGAGAGAGCAGGAGCAGCAGCCTTCTCTTACACTCTCTAACCACTCTCACCCATCCACCCTCAACTCGCTGGCATGGTGATGTTAGCAAGTAGAAGCGGTCATTGATGTCACTCTCATTGACAGAAAGAGAGAGAGAGAGAGAGAGAGAGATCATTCACACAGAAAAAACAGACACAAGCACACAGTCCCAAACAGGACAACTAGGGACACATACAGCTATTCACAGTGGTACAAAAGCTCTCTACACTTATTCACACATTTTCATTGACGGTATTTCTAGAGACCTGACTCGCCTCAATCATGTGATTAATAATTACCACACATAAATGCCAACAACAAAAATTGTTTTATGTACAGGCATGACAAATGGTTTACTGATTTTTATCTCATAACAGAAAGGAGGCATCAATGTACATCCGATCAGGATGTGACACTCAGCGACGTCGGTGGAAAAAAAAGAAAAACGTCTTGATTTTATATACAAAACAAATTGGGGGTCAGATCTTGTCTACTCGGGATATTTGCTTGCATCAGAACTTAAGAAAATAAAATGCATCCAAAACAAGAAAATATGTGATTGTTTCCCTTTTACAGCCACACGCAAAAATGTCTTCTACCACACACAGTTTGAACAAAGCCTCCTGCAGCAGCCACGTGTTGGACACCCACCTTGCAGACAGAGCCACTTAAGAGTTTATGGGAAACTGGAACAATTTATTTGGGCACCAAGAGGCTAACAAGCACTTTTAATGTCCACAGAAGTACAGAGCCCCAACAGGTCATAGAGCTTAAAATACTTTATTTACTCTACCCAACTTTTAGTGCACTAGAAAGCACTAAAACCATTCAACAGACCAAAACGATGGCCAAGATAAAAAAGTCCCCATGGACCCAGCCACCACCCACAAAGATACAAAGTAATACCATGTTCATATCATCAGGTCATAGTTTTGAATAGAGTTGCACGAGCACGAGCTAATCATTCATGAGGTTTTATACTTGTGGCAGCAACCATCGGCAAGGGTCTACTCACAGCTATAGACTAACGTATATGCTACCTATTTTAGCCACAGTTTCTTCATATGTGGATCATAATGTCACTTTAATTTCACCTTTGTTACGTCCATCATTTCCACTTCTCTTTTACAGTTGACATCTGCTTCCTTCATTCACTAACTGGGTGTGAACTCTCAGATAAGCAAAAGATGAAGTCTGCTGTTTCAATATCCAGTAAAAACATCCAAAGTTTCTAAATGTTACTGATGTAATTGTGTGTTGATCTTCCATCATGATTGTTTAACTGGCTGTTTTATTTTGCTAACCCGAACTTAATTTACTAAAACATTCAGAAAAAGGAAGCACATGGTCACATTAAACACAAACCGACACAAACAATGTGATAAAATCTAAATGTCAGTTATAATTTAAGTACTCAAACCATTATCCCTAACTGTTTTAAATATTCAAACAAACAAGCTTTTGGCATTAACTTGTACATTCATGTATTTGTATGGATATTTGTGATCTGTGACAATATAAAAATCAGAATTTATGGCTCGCTCTCTCTTTTAGCAGAGGATTTCTTATGGATCATAAATGAAGTACCACATGTGAGGCAGGCCGAAGCCTTTGCACTGGTCGCAAGCTTTTAACACACTTACAGATGGACCTCCTCAAAGCTACAGACCACACAGGTATCTTAATCAAACATTAACTAGACTGATGTGAGACGTTCAGACGCAATAAATACATAAAAGAGCAGCAAACATGAGCCTGAACAAAGACTCCTTTATTCTCTATCTTACTCAAAACCAACAGTGGGTGTGGACACACTGAGATATACTCCTGTTTATACTACACAGTTCCTACAACTAAAAAATGCATCACAGCCTTATTATACAATTTCAGGGTGGTTACATCAGCATCGGTGTAGTATAGACTGTCAGAACAAGACTGGCCACAATCCAGACATACCCCCATCTACACACACACACACACACACACACACACACACAGCAGGCTAGTGATATTCCAAAGACACGGTAAAGATCCCTCTGAAAGGCTGAGTAATCTAGCCAAGTGCAACACTAGCACTAGTGAAGCACTTGACCTAAAAACAACTACGCCAACAGAATGAATACAAGTCAGTGACCTCAATGACTAGTCAACCTAAACAGATAAACAAGAAGTCTCTCTCTCACTCTCACTCTGTCACACAAACACACAGAATACACTTTTACAACTGCTGGTTTAATTGCTTGTGGTTTACATCTATAGTATGTTACCCACTTGAATGTCAATTTGGTCATTTATTACTGGATGCACAGTGTGTTTTTTTGCATGTTCCTGAACATGTTTGTGCATGTAGCCTTTTGCATGCATGGGTGTATCCAAGCCTCCCCCCCCCCCTCAGAAAGACATAATAGTGCAGCCAGTAATGTGATTAACCTTGCATCCCTCCATCAGACTGCACAGCACACTGGTCCATACTGTCTGTCATTTCCCTTTTCGTCTCAAATAAAGGTTACACTACTCTTGTCTGTCTTTACGTGAGGGTAACAATCTCAGTGAAGAAAGTCAAGCAATATGCATTCACGCAAAGGTATAATGCACAGGGAGGGGTCGTGTAAAGGGGTCTCACTGAATGTCTGCATTGACATTACACATAGTGTAAGAACGGTTGGGGTCATGTTAAGAAATGCATTGTCAAAATAATGATTACTATATCTCTGTTGCTGCATAAAAGCCATCCCTTATCCAGGATAAGTTGATAAAGGTGAACACAGCATGCATCCGAGATTTTGCAGCCTGCCCTGAGCTGAAGCTTATCAAACAGGAGTGAGTGTTCAACACATGTTGGCTGTCACTGTGGCACATTCACGAGCCTGAGGGGGCCGCCTGCTGCAGCGGCAAAACTGTGATGACAGACAGACAGAGTAAACAGAGGTGCTACAGGGATGCAGAGGGCTGGTTAGGGTTTAGGGTTATGTTTGGGATGTCATGAAGGCTAAATGGGATGTGGCCAGCTCTCTAAAGAGCTGTCAAATGGGAGATTACAAGGGAGAAGCAAGAGTGCTGCTGGAAGGAAGAGCTAACACACACTGCTGACAGTCTGCCTGTCCAGTTTGAACAACCACACCCCACGGCGACATGCACTCGGGCTTGCTGCTGCAGCATCCTCCAGCCACAGAGGTCGGATGTCCTTGCACTCCGGCTGTGGAGTTTAGTGTGTTTATGAGCCTGTCATGTTGCATTAACACAGTGCTGCCAAGACTATGACATGGTCTACGTCCAACTTCCCGAGCGAAGAAACGGCAGGATAAGATAAGACTTTATTGATCGCCAGAGGGGAACTATCATGGCTGAATACCTTATGAGGACAGGGCAGTAAAAAAAAAAACATTTGAATATTACGCTCATCCAACATCCATATAGTCGATGGCATTTCATACTTCCTCCTCTGGCTCGCTGGCAGGGTCTTGCCACACCACTAGTGATGTCACACAGGTTCACTGATGCAGCCACATTTCACAATGCTGTGTCAAAACGATGCTCAGCAGTTACGAACTACAGACAGCAGAAGAAGAAAAAAAAACACGTCGAAAAAAGCCTGATGTGATGAAGGCGGGTCGGCGGCTCTTCGGCTCGTTTCTGCATCGCGACCTCATGAAACACGGATGTGGTTCACAAAGTCAAAGCAGCTCTCGCCTGTCAAGACTCTACAAATGAAGACGTGAGAAGCGAGGCTAGTCTTTTCCTCCCAGGGCGAGTAAACTTACCTGAAATGGAGGTTCCAGTGGGTGAGCACCGGTGGCCTGATGTAGAAACGCCGCTGCCTGGCTTGCTTCAACATCCAGTGAGGGAGAGAGGCTGGGCTTCCTGCGATGTGGGGCGATGTTAACACACCTCCAGATGCCCTGCTCTGTCAACAGCGACCATTTACAACTTTATTCCTCGGATATCACACGTATTTTCCAGCGGTTAAAGTTGTATTTCCTCTCTGGCTTTTAATCAGCTGCAGGCTTCTCGTCCTGCTCTCGCGCCGCACACTGACATCTCTTTCCACGCCCACACAAACACACGAGCGACGTCATCCGTTCCCATACATTACATCCACATGAGTGAATATATTTATATATATATAAATAAATGAAACTATGTCGACGTGAACAGGGGGGGGGGGTAAAAGCCGGGCGGGCGTCGCCGGTAGCGTGATAGAAGTGCGACACCTGACTGCGTGTTCAAGAATGACACCGCGCGCAGTGAGTGCGTGTCACGCAGCCAGTGCGGTGGAAACGTCAGGGCGTACGGTGACTACCTGAGACAAGCTGATATCAACCATAAACTATGAATATTAGCCTACATATCAACACGGAAAGAAAAAAAAATGTTCTCTTTGGTTTCCTTAAATCATCTAAGGAACATTGCCTGATATAATAAAGAACTGCTGTTTTTGTTTTGTTTTGTTTTTTATCTAAATTTAGTTTGTGGTTTACATCTATAGTATGTTACCCACTTGAATGTCAATTTGGTAATTTATTACTAGATGCACAGTGTGTTTTTTTGCATGTTCCTGAACATATTTGTGCATGTAGCCTTTTGCATGCATGGGTGTATCCAAGCCTCACCCCCCCTCAGAAAGACATAATAGTGCAGTCAGTAATGTGATTAACCTTGCCTCTCTCCATCAGACTGCACAGCACACTGGTCCATACTAGGATAAGTTGTAAAATAAAAAGACATCAATAGGGAACTCTTTAAAGGGTGCAGTAGCCTACATCATAATCTTGTGTCTCTCATTTTTATCAACAAGATTTATTTTTATTAAAGTTTTTACCTTAAGTATATTTTGAATGTTTTTATAAAATATGTTTTATGATAACAGTCCTAAAACGTCTGTTTTGCATGTAATTAGAAAAGATGATGATAATGGTGATAAATTAGCCACATTGCCTCCTGCCATGCATCATTTAAGAATATGCAATTCTTTATAATTTAAGGCCATCAAAAGTTAACCATCATCAATCTCTTCCATGTCAGTGATACTCGGTTATTGTAAAGCTACACACAGCTCAAGCCATCCATATTCAGTAGATTTATCTTGGACAATATGACAACATATAAAACTAGGTGTAATAATCCGACAATACTAAAGTGGTGTCAGTGTGACCTAGATTTTTGAGGATGCATTACTTACGCACAGCTGCCTGTCTCTGCCTCTCCACTGACTGCCTCTTGTGAGTAGCAATACACAACATTATCACTACTCTCTGTGGCTACAGCATATGCTGCACAAAGCTGCAGGGCAACACAGGCCATACCGTAAGAAGAGCAGGAAGCTCATTTTCAATTGTCCATACCTCAGCAGTAGTACTCATCCAGAAGCAGAGTACCAGTGGGGATTTTGTTTTTAATATATTGTTAAGTCTAATATGTACATAACATTTTTGCCTGAGATATAGAGGACAAACAAATAGGGTTGAGTTTGGAGTTAATCTTTTTTAATTGAAACAACAATGTGGTTGCAGGCAGATGGATATTAGAGATGAAATAGGCATGTGTGGCATTTTTTGTTTCGGTAATGGATTGATTCAGAGAGTGAAACTGTGTCAGAGAGCAGTAATGAGTGTCTCTGATTCCTGTTTTGCCCGAGGTTCTTCCACTTTTTTCCACAACATCATCGTTCGGGAGTGATTTTGTACCAAGCCCTCAATGAAAGAGAATACACAGAAAAGGGACAAAGAAAAATCTTTATTTTTATTTGCTTTTTAATTACAATAGCGTTGTGATTAGGACTTCTGATAGTATATTCTCTGATTATAACGTAGAACAGTCCAATGTGCTATTAGATTCAGGTGATAATATTGTGGAAATTCAAAGTGCAAAAGTGGTGCATCCTGGGCCTGCACCGAAAAGAAGGTTTAGTGACTAGGTTGAATTCATTAGAGCATCTTAGCCACAGACTTTTGTATGAAGAAGGTAAAAGTCTTATTCATTAGCAGTTATAATATAACAATAGATCTAGTCAGTCAGGCTATTTCTATCTCTTGTGCCCTGTTATAAATAAGTAATGTGAGAAGTCACTGTTTTTTCATTAACTTAACATAATCATCTTAGGTTTTTGGCATTTGCATGAGAGCTGTCGTAATGAGCTTAACATATTCACGACTGGTGCCAGATAAAACGTGTTACGGCTTTAAGAGACGGCCTCTGGTATTCCGAGGGGAAGAGAGATCAAATGAGTAAAATATATCTAACAGTTCATCTAGTGTTTATTTTAAGATAACACGAAGAAAACATTAGACACCTTTGAGTCCATTTCTGAAGCCAGCTACCAAACTGACCTATTTTCCACAATCCAACCCCAAATTCCCAGTCTGGAGTGCCAGTGGTGACGTAAAACTTTCATGTGAGGGTAATTAGGCTTCCAGTGAGTCACCACTGTTAGTCACAAAAAATCTGAGCCTTATGTTCCATGGTCCATCCCAGAAATCCTTAATTCATAACATGAGCATAACAAGATGTCGACAATGTGTATACAGAAGAAAGAAGTATTTCTTTAAAAAAGCTTTTCAAACGTATTAACATATACCATTCTCTGTTTCATGAACTTCTTGGCGATCTATGAGGTGTTTAATGGAAATGCAGTGAGTTAATACTCCATTAGACAATCCACCAATGCACAATTACCATTCAGGCTCCAAATAATAACACAATGTGTTTATTGTAGCTACAGCACAAGTTTATGACTCAACAAGGAGGGGAATACTGTATTAGCATCACAGTGCCATTCAAGGGTTCTTAAAATGCAAATACACAATGTATCATTTATTTCTAACCATGCAGTCAGCATAATGACTTTATATGATGATGTTCCTGTGATTGTTTTACACTAAATTCTGAATTTGTGCCTTTTCCAGGACATTGAACAAGGAAGGCTAAAAATATTTTTGTCCTTTGTTCAAATATCTCATTCAATGAAAACTCCCCACACACAAAGTTTCCTTTCCTTTTCAGGAGGAGAAATCTACTTGGTACGTTGAACGACAAGTTCTATTGCTGTGAAGGGAGGGTCCGTAGTTTAAAATTTAATCATTTTGATGATGCCATCAGGCGTATTAAGATTTGAGCGCTAAATGTTTAATAAAAACTCGAACTTACAAACTGGAGGTGTTAGGGTTGAAAGGACGGGGCTTCATATTTAATACAATATTGATGTAGATGTAGATATAAATGTAGAATGGGTGATGTAGGATGCAGCACATTTTACATTTGAAGCATACTATAGAGTTGAAAAGTCCTTCAATGTTTCTTGAATGTCACCTGTCTTAACATTTATGTATATCACTATAAAGCCCCTTAAAGGCAAAACACAACCGAGTTCAGAAAGTAAAATAAAATTCTTAAGGGCTGTGACTCAAGTCATCCACTCCTACAATTACTTATTTTTCCCATCTTTTCTTTCACTGTATTTTCCTCTTTATTTGCTTCTTTTCCACTCAGGCCTCAAAATAGCCACTGATCAATATAGAAAAAAAGCTGGCAGCTAGAGAAGGGACTGAAGCCACAGAAACAGTGGAGTTTTCCCCAATTACTGGAGAAAGTGAATAGGGCCTGCCCTGATGATTTAGGCATATTGTAAGAGTTTATAATAATAGGTTCATGTGAAAATGCTTCATGGTATGAGACAATCAGTGGCACCAACGTAGCTAGAGTTTGATGAAATCACTGCCTGAGAAGTTTCTCAAATATAATCTGTGGCTATATTTATGAAAGACAATTATAAATACCAAACACTATTAAGAATTCACAGAGTATCAGTGGGCTGCATTTCTTCCAACATGTCAGCCCATTCCAGAGAGAGAAACTTCAAAGGTCAGAACAGCTATTGGGCTGCATTTGCTATGGAAATACTCTCCACACCCAGTCAATGTCTACTCTCACATTACCCCTCTGGTTGCTATGGATACTACTGACCATATATCAACTCCTCCTCCTCATATCTCTCTTCCTGGGAGAGTCTCTGGCAGTGCCTGGGGAGACCGCGGGTGGTGTCCTGTGATGTACATACAGGGACTTGTTACCTAGAAGGAGACGAAGAGGGGGTAGAGTGTGTTTTAGACAGATGACTTTCTATTCTGTTATGTCATGCAGCAACTAGAAACTGCAAATGATATCACAGGCAGACCATATTAGAGAACAGAGAAGATGATGGCGAAGACTTAATCACTTGAGCCCTGGGGTAAGTCTGCTTCTCCAGGATAAAGAGACGAAAAACAAGCAGACCAAAGCAGAGAGACCAGCTTGTTTCAATTTTCAATCACTCAAGTAATGACCACATGGTAAAATCCTGCACGTGTTGACTGTGGCTGTTTCTGGCAGGGGGCACTGTGGCCCCAGCAAATCTGCTCGGATTTGCATAATCAAAAGATTTGGACACATAACAAGCTCATAATTACAAGTATCTGTCTGAAGCTGCTTTGCCTATTGGAACTATACCATTGCATAAACCATTTAAAAGAGAGATCGAGGTGTGCACGTGAAAAACCAAAAACAGTACAGGGGTCCTACTTATCCCCTCAACTGGATTGTGTTAATCTACTAATCGAGGGCCATTTACATAACTGCTTTAAGGCAGCTGCAGTTAAGCAATTACTGCCCCCATTTATTACTTTCCCACAATGTGGCATCTACTCTCATTCCCAGACTTTTAATCTCCCTCACTCCCCAGAGTCCTGTTGCTTTTCTTTCTGTAAGTCCTTTAACTGTCTGCTCCCCTTCCTTTTTGGCCTCACTCTCCCTCCTCTGAACTTTAATGGTATCCTTCCCCTTGTCTACCCAATGGCTGAAGAGCAAAAAGTTACACCTCTTAACCTCAGGAGCTATAGTTTGGCCCAATCTAAATAACTGGCAGAAAATATTATGTGAGCAGATCACACAGTGGCATTTGAATCATGGGATTTTACAGCTTTTTGAGTGAACATTAAATTCTAAAGAAAATCAGATGACAAACACATTGACTTCCACCAGCATCTAAAATTTTAATTCTCAAATAACAATAATACTTTTTTTTTATATTCTCCTCAAATTAATAAACATAGGCTCTTTTGTAACACCAAACCAAAGCTCATAAATATTTTACATTATTTTTTAAATGTATCATATTTGTGGC